GAATCTTCTTCCTGGATTTAAATCTGTCGAAGACATTAACATTCGAGTCTTTCTCCCACACTTGCAGTACGTCTGATCCATATGGACCTTGGGATAAAACTTGGCTTCGTTCTGTGATGAAGCTTGGCTTGGCTTGCAACTTATCTTCATTCTGTGATGAAGATTGCCTTGGTTCGCCCCATTGAAAGTTGCCTCTATGAGACATATATTAGGGTTCTTCAATCAGATATATATAGTGGGAGAAAAGATAGTTAGATGGACGGGAAAATAAGGGGAAAAGACAGTGATGCCCTTCTGTCTTCTACACGTGTTGTTTTTCATAAGAGATTTGGACAGTAGTTAAGGAGAAGGACAACTTTGGTTCAAAATCCAAATTTTGAGGACTAAATTGACTAAATTGGGACTTTAGTGATGAAAGTTTAATAAGTTGTAACTTCAAGGACCATTAGTGCAATTAACCCAAATTTTAACATCTTTTAAATATAAAATGCAATAATGATGGGCTAATATGTGTGGGGCTTATTATGGCTCACTAAAGTATGATCTTTTTGCCAAAATGTGGTAGGGAACCACACATTTAGTGGAGACAAGGGAATGATTAGTTATACGAAGCTTTGTCAATATTTGCTTTAATTATAGGGATTTTTCTTGTGGTCATGTCTCTATTGTCACGATTTGCTTGATAATTGAAGAGAGAAAATATAATCTGACCACAAAAAAAATAATGAAGAATTACACCCAGATCTCTTGAAGTTTGTCACTTAATTACTCAAATTTCCTGACATTTGAGATATTATATACAGACCCCTTGAAGTTTGTATGCGCGTAATTGTTAGACCTCTACCGTCAAATGTCCGTTAGTATAACTATTAGTAAATTATACCCAGACCCCCCTAAAATTTGTAGGCGTAAAATATTTAAACTCTTCAAGTTTAAAATGTTATATTTAGATCAAAAATACTTCAATCAAGATAAAATATCAAATATTTTAAATTTTACAACTAAAATTTATGTTATATTGTATCATTTATTGAAATAACATTAAAATAAATTTTTAATTTTTTGCTTAAAAAATCTTAATTAGTATATAATTATACTATCTATTCGAATTAAACTAAAAAATCAAACAAGAGATCTAAGTCATTCATAGTAGAATATGAATTTTACATCCAAAAGTCATATTAAAATCAAAATAAAAATCTAAATTTTTTTAAAAAAATTATAGTTATTATATAATTATACTATATAAGAATAAAATTAAAAAATTAAACAGGGTTGTATTTTGCAACCCTGTTTAATATGTTAGTTTTATTCTAATATAGTATAATTATATAATAACTATGATTTTTTTAAAAAATTAAATTTTTATTTTTGATTTTAATATGACTTTTGGATGTAAAATTCATATTCTACTATGAATGACTTAGATCTCTTGTTTGATTTTTTAGTTTAATTCGAATAGATAGTATAATTATATACTAATTAAGATTTTTTAAGCAAAAATTAAAATTTATTTTTAATGTTATTTCAATAAATGATACAATATAACATAAATTTTAGTTGTAAAATTTAAAATATTTGATATTTTATCTTTGATTGAAGTATTTTTGATCTAAATATAACATTTTAAACTTGAAGAGTTTAAATATTTTACGCCTACAAATTTTAGGGGGGTCTGGGTATAATTTACTAATAGTTATACTAACGGACATTTGACGGTAGAGGTCTAACAATTACGCGCATACAAACTTCAAGGGGTCTGTATATAATATCTCAAATGTCAGGAAATTTGAGTAATTAAGTGACAAACTTCAAGAGATCTGGGTGTAATTCTTCATTATTTTTTTTTGTGGTCAGATTATATTTTCTCTCTTCAATTATCAAGCAAATCGTGACAATAGAGACATGACCACAAGAAAATCCCTATAATTAAAGCAAATATTGACAAAGCTTCGTATAACTAATCATTCCCTTGTCTCCACTAAATGTGTGGTTCCCTACCACATTTTGGCAAAAAGATCATACTTTAGTGAGCCATAATAAGCCCCACACATATTAGCCCATCATTATTGCATTTTATATTTTAAAAGATGTTAAATTTTGGGTTAATTGCACTAATGGTCCTTGAAGTTTACAACTTATTAAACTTTCATCACTAAAGTCCCAATTTAGTCAATTTAGTCCTCAAAATTTGGATTTTGAACCAAAGTTGTCCTTCTCCTTAACTACTGTCCAAATCTCTTATGAAAACAACACGTGTAGAAGACAGAAGGGCATCACTGTCTTTTCCCCTTATTTTCCCGTCCATCTAACTATCTTTTCTCCCACTATATATATCTGATTGAAGAACCCTAATATATGTCTCATAGAGGCAACTTTCAATGGGGCGAACCAAGGCAATCTTCATCACAGAATGAAGATAAGTTGCAAGCCAAGCCAAGCTTCATCACAGAACGAAGCCAAGTTTTATCCCAAGGTCCATATGGATCAGACGTACTGCAAGTGTGGGAGAAAGACTCGAATGTTAATGTCTTCGACAGATTTAAATCCAGGAAGAAGATTCCTTGGATGTGAAATGAGGTAAATTTTATGAAATTGTATTATATGAAAGTTAACAACAATCTTTGTTTAACCTATTTTTGTTGGAATATGTAGCGAAATGGTGGGTGTGGATATTTTGTGTGGCATAATCCTCCTATGTGTATGCGATCGAAGAATATCATACCGGAATTACTCAGGAAAATCACACTACTAGAAGTGAAGTTGACCAAATCTCAACGGAGAGAGAAAGTTGCGTGGTTGTTGCTTGTACTTACTTGGTTATGGATGTTAACAAAATGAAGTTGTTGTACTCGCTTGCTTGTACTCACTGGGATGTTATTGCTTGTACTCACTTGCTTCTACTTACTTGGTCAGATGTCATTGTAAAATGAAGTTGCTGGTTATGGGTGTTGTAGTTGCTAAGATGCCAGTTTTGTACTTTGTTAATGTAGAAAGTGTATCTTATTGGCAAGTTGTAAGTTAATATCTATTTGTATGTCAGTGCAATTGGTATTGATTTTGTCTCCTAACTTTGTTCTGTTATCAAGTGATCCAACAAACACCATAATAATGTTTAATTGCATTGAGGACACAACCTATTCAGTGACAAAAGAGAACATTTTACATTCCAAAAGCCCATTGGTATTACATTCACAAGGCAAAGTCTTCATAGCATAAACCTAAACATCTCAAAACAAATAAACTCACTGACAAGTGTTCTTTTTCATTCTATCTCTATAGTCACCTGCGCAAGTCCCTGTGCAAATCAAACCCACTGTTTGCAACACAGTGACAATTATACTTTCAAGTGGAAGGAAAAATGATACAAGGGCTAGACTCTGGACACAGCAAGCATAATAAGTTGGCAAGAGCTGACTAAACATTATTGACTTTACCCACTTGAATTGACTTGTCACCCAAAGCCTAATTCTTTGAGTTAGGTGTTGGAAACTTCATTTTAACCAGTAGTAACAAATATGAACATAAAATATACAGCAAGCATGTTAAGCATCACTTGTTATGAAATATCTACCAAAATCATGAAAGTTGCAACACCAAGGTTTTTACTGCGAAGTAACTCCACGCAAGCTTGTGCTGCAGCAGGTGTTTCCACGACAATATAATCAAGTCCAGGGCATGCTGTTGATATGGCAACATCATATTTTGCTGCAAAGACAAACATAATCAAAGAAGGGTGTGAATTCAAAGTAAGAATACAAGAAAAATCAGTATTATAGGCCATCATGAGAAATAGTGATCACAGAAACTACGCAGATAATGCTTCTAAGCAAAGAAAGGAATGACTTCATTTTTTTAATAAAGTCAAGAACCATAGTCAAATGAATTTTGAAGTCCTAATTTATCAATATAAGATCTGTTATTGCCACTCTGAACAAAAAACCACAACTTTTAGTTGTCATGAGCATAATCTCACCAATTGATCCGTTTAACAAATGTACCCCTGTTCATTAGAATGACTAAGGCTCTTTTGAGTTTTTCGCAAATAGAAAGGGTCATTACCCAATATTTTCTGTCTTTATGGCAGGTGCAGATAGGATACACTGGGGACCAGCCAAACCTTTGATATTAAATGCACAGAGTGGCTACCCTTAGATTGAATCCACAACCTCAACTGTTAGCCCAACACTAATGAGAAGAAATGGATATTGAAGGTTCCTTCATGGGCATTCAGTGTATTCTTATTCTTTTCATCTAACTCTTTTTGAAGAAACACTGGAAAAGTTCCAGCATAGAATTTCCATTTAAACTCAACACATGCACTGTTGTACTCTTACCGTATTTCACTTGAGAAACACAGAGAAGGTAAAACTATTAGAAAATGACTGACTGATCGTTATATACACGATCCTCACCATCAATAGCGCCTAAATCACCCATTCGACCATAAATCCCCTCTATGATGTTTGAGTCTTTAGCTTGCAGTAGTGCTTTTAAGACAGATCCCTGACTCTTTTCAGATTCCATAACAGACACAAGCTCGGTAACCTTTTGTCTTGCAGCTTGTTCAAGAGGAATCAGCTTTTCTTGTTCTTTGAGAAACTCCTGTAAAGAGTCAAAGTACTCGCAACATATCCAATGATGGTGATGAATGAACCACAGAACATGAAAAAGTACAAAACAGGTGTCAATAAAACATACTTGTTCTAGTTTGCAAGTTTCCACTGCTTCAAGTTTGCTTTTCGCTAATTCATTTTGAATATTTTTAAACTTGAAGTCTTTGTTTCAATTCTCATCTGTATGTCAGACATCTTCTTTTGAGCATCATCATAAGCAGCACAGGCAGCTTCAAGCTGAAAAAATCCACAATAGAACAATGCACAGCTATGACATCTAGCTCTACAGAAAAATCAAATACTGAAAATTTCCAAGAAACAGAAAATAGCAGAGCCCATATGTTATCTGCATCGGTCAACCATTTGTTGATCATGAACAAATTACTCTCGACGAGACTCAATCAAATACCAACTCACCTTCTCATTTAAAAGTTTTCTTTCGGTAGACGTAACTTCAAGTTTTCCATTGTGCTCAATCAATAGTTTTTCCCAAGGTTCTAGTTCAGCACGAACCTTTGCTAGCTCACCACGGAACATCTCGGTTTCCACTGTTTCTCAACCAATTAAAACAAAGGGACAACATTAAACACTTTCTCCTCAGAGAGCAAACATATTTATCACACCCTTAATGCAGCAGCATGTGAAATG